GACTTGGTTTTGTACAACACCTTGCGTGCCACCTCTTCACCACAAATAACTTGATGGCAGTCTCAGAATAAAGTATGTAGTGAACGACAGAGCAGTGTAATAATTTAATGTGAGTTGTCAGACTATGTGGCACCGTCATAGGATGTCACCTTTCATACGAGTCAATTTCTATGTCACCTTTCCAACAAATCAATTCATACCCTGTTAGAGCTGCCCCAAGTGATGTTATTGTGAAGTGGAAACGTCTAGGAGAAACAACGGCTCAGCCACGAAGTTGTAGGCCACACAAGCTCACAGAACGGGACCGCCGAGTGCTGAAGCGCGTAAAAATTGCCTGTCTTCGGTTGCAACACTCACTACCGAGTTCCAAACTGCCTCTGGAAGCTACGTCAGCACAAGACCTGTTCGTCGGGAGCTTCATGAAATGGGTTTCCATGGCCGAGCAGCCGCACACAAGCCTAAGATCACCATGCGCAATGCCAAGCGTCGGCTGGAGTGGTGTAAAGCTCGCCGCCATTGGACTCTGGAGCAGTGGAAACATGTTCTCTGTTCTTGTGCTGACGTCTGGCAGTCCGACGGACAAATCTAGGTTTGGCGGATGCCAGGAGAACACTACCTGCCCGAATGCATAGTGCCAACTGTAAAGTTTGGTGGAGGAGGAATAATGGTCTGGGGCTGTTTTTCATGGTTCGGGCTAGGTCCCTTAGTTCCAGTGAAGGGAAATCTTAACACTACAGCATACAACGACATTGTAGATGTGGCAACAGTTTGGGGAAGGTCCTTTCCTGTTTCAGCATGACAATGCCCCCGTTTCTCAAGATCGGTGTGGAAGAACTTGATTGGCCTGCACAGAGCCATGATCTCAAACCCATCGAACACCTTTGGGATGAATTGGAATGCCAACTGCGAGCCAGGCCTAATTGCCCAACATCAGTGACCGACCTCACTAGCATGTCCCCGCAGCAATGTTCCAACATCTAGTGGAAAGCCTTCCCAGAAAGGGGAGGCTGTTATAACATATTAGTGTCTATGATTTTGGAATGAGATGTTCGACCAGCAGGTGTCCACATACCTTTGGTGATGTAGTGTATGTGGTGGTAAATGTTACCAGTGCGCCCTTGACTGTACAAAGGAATGAGGGGGCCATCTTGTGGCCAAGCAATGAAAAACAACACCCCAAATAGGTATATTCTGGCTCGCAGAAATCATCAACATGTATTGATCACATCTTTACTAATGCTGCAGAAATTCGTTTGAAAGCAGTATCCAAATCCATCGGATGTAGTGATCACAATATAGTAGCCAGATCTAGGAAAACCAAAGTTCCAAAGGCTGGGCCTAATATAGTGTATAAGAGGTCATACTATAAGTTCGGTAGCGATTCCTATGTTGTTGATGTAAAGAATATTTGTTGGTACGTGGTGTGTAATGAGGAGCAACCAGATGCTGCACTTTACACATTTATGAAATTGCCTATCCCAGTTACTAATAAGCATGCACCCATTAAGAAAATGACATGAAACTTAAATCCCTGTGGATTTATGAGGAATTGAAAAATGGTATGGTTGAGAGGGATGAGGCAAAATAAATGGCAAATAGGTCTGGCTGTACAAGCGATTGCAAACGTACTGCAAATTGAGAAATCATGTGACTAAACTGAATGAAAATAAGAAGAAACTACACTATTACATTTTGGGCAAAAAGACGAACTCCACTCCATCATTCATTGAATCAGATGGCTCATTCATCACAAAACCCACTGATATTGCCAACTACTTTCATGTTTTTTTCATTGGCAAGATTAGCAACCTTAGACATGCCAGCAACAAACGCTGACACTACACATCCAAGTATATCTGACCAAATTATGAAAGACAAGCATTGTAATTTTGAATTCCTTAAAGTAAGTGTGGAAGAGGTGAAAAAATGATTGTTGTCTATCAACAATGACAAGCCACCGGGGTCTGACAACTTGGATGGAAAATTACTGAGGATAATAGCAGATGATATTGCCACTCCTATTTGCCATATCTTCAATTTAAGCCTACTAGAAAGTGTGTGCGCTCAGGCCTGGAGGGAATAGTAAAGCCCCCTTTACTGGCTCAAATAGCGATCCATCAGCCTGTTACCAATTCTTTGTAAACTTTTGGAAAAATTGTGTTTGTCCGGATACAATGCTATTTTACAGTAAACGAATTGACAACAGACTTTCAGCACGCTTATAGGGAAGGACATTCAATAAGCACAGCACTTACACAAATGACTGATGATTGGCTGAGAGAAATTGTTGATAAAAATATTGTGGGGGCTGTTTTGTTAGACTTCAGCGCGGCTTTTGACATTATCGATCATAGTCTGATGCTGGAAAAACATATGTTTATGGCTTTACACCCCCTGCTATATTGTGGGTGTTCTTTAATGGAAGCCTCTCCAACAAAATCCAGGTAGAATCAGGAATTCCCAGGGCAGCGGTCTAGGCCCCTTACTTTTTTCAATCTTTACTAATGACATGCCACTGGCTTTGAGTAAAGCCAGTGTGTCTATGTATGCGGATGACTCAACACTATACACGTCAGCTACCACAGCGACTGAAATTACTGAAACACTTAACAAAGAGGTGCAGTTAGTTTCAGAATGGGTGGCAAGGAATAAGTTAGTCCTAAATATTTAAAAAAATAAAAGCGTTTTATTTGGGACAAATCATTCACTAAACCTCAACTAAATATTGTAATGAATAATGTGGTAATTGAGCAAGTTGAGGAGACTGAACTGCTTGGAGTAACCCTGGATTGTAAACTGTCATGGTCAAAACATATTGATACAACAGTAGCTAGGATGGGGAGAAGTCTGTCCATAATAACGCGCTGCTCTGCATTCTTAACAGCACTTTCAACAAGGCAGGTCCTACAGGCCCTAGTTTTGTCGCACCTGGACTACTGTTTAGTCCTGTTGTCAGGTGCCACAGAGGGACTTAGGAAAATTGCAATTGGCTCAGAACAGGGAAGCACGGCTGGCCCTTGGATGTACACAGAGAGCTAACATTAATAATAATATGCATGTCAATCTCACCTGGCTCAAAGTGGAGGAGAGATTGACTTCTTCACTACTTGTATTTGTGAGAAGTATTGACCGAGCTGTCTGTTTGAACTACTGGCACACAGCTCGGACACCCATGCATACCCCACAAGACATGCCACCAGAGGTCTCTTCACGGTCCCCACGTCCAGAACAGACTATGGGAGGTGCACAGTACTACATAGAGCCATGACCACATGGAACTCTATTCCATATCAAGTAACTCATACAAGCAGTAAAATCAGATTGAAAACATAACAGATAAAAATACACCTTATGGAACAGCGGGAACTGTGAAGCAACACAAACATACGCACTATACACACACATACAAATGGATTTTGTGTTGTAGATATGTGGTAGTATAGTAGTAGGGGCCTCAGGGCACACTTAATATGTTGTGAAATCTGTTGTAAATGTATTGTAATGTTTTTTTTTTTATGTATAACTGCTGGACCCCAGGAAGAGTGGTAGCAGCTAATGGGGATCCATAATAAATACAAATACTCACAGATAATGAAGGAAAAACTATTGCCCCCCCCCCCCCCCCCCAATAAGTCAAAGACCATTTGGCCTTGTTTCTCTCTCAGTGGTGTTCAGATTAACCTCGGTTGCTGGCACTGCTCTGACTGCGCACTTCCTGAAGCTAGGTGTATGAATCAGATGTTAGCTTTCTTAGTACATGTCTGAGGGGTATCCTACAAAGCAAGATCAATGACTTAGCCAGCTAACTTACCAGAATATTCTGAAATAATGATTTATTTCTTTAAGAAGATGAGCATAAAATGGGCATGGTCTAATTGACTCATCAACCAAAAACAACTATGAACCAGAAAATCAATAGTTATTTCAGGTTGTTTATCAAAGTTAGCTGGGTAACTCATTGATCCTGCTTTGTAGTATATCCCTCTGGTCTGTCAGATGTGAAATTAGCTGGGTAGATAAGCATCTGAGTGGCCATTGATGAGCCCCCTCCCTGACAACTTAAGTTATTAAAACTAAATGAAAGACAGCTGTTGATCATGGAGTCAGTTTCCACAGTTGAAGTTGAATGGTGAGCATTGTTGTGCACAAAAGGTTGAGAGTTTGTGTCACCGTTGGGATGGAACTCACTCTGTTACAATGGTCCGTCAACTGAATGCTCTTATATATACACTAACAGAGCAGTTTGATATAACCTATTGTTTATTTATGTTATGGAAGTTAGTGGAATTTTCAAAAATGTAAAACATAAAAAGGTGTTAAGGAAGAACAATTTATAAACATTCCATAAATATGCAAGAATGTTTATCATACCATATGGGCAGGTACAATGGTGAGTTAATGCCACTGAGGCATCATGAGTTAGTAAAATAATTATACTATGCTTTTTACAAACACCACCATCTGTTCATCTTATTATATAGCTACCAGCAACAATGAGATGCATTTGTGTCAATAATTTGGCAAATATAAAAACCAAACTGTAAAAAACACACAGAATAACCCATAAAAATCTATAACAACCACCTAAACAAAATCACTGTTCATCATTAAAGCGCCGGTCAATAAACAAGCAACATTATTATTAATGATAAAGATATTTAAAATTTACCCCCCAAACATCAGTGTTATTTTTCCATAACACCTTTTTCTCTACAACATTTTGTATGTAAAAAACGGCTGCTTTTCATTCAATTTCTTTTTCTTCGTAGTGTCAATCTTTTTTTTTTTTATCAACCAAAACTCATAGGTTACTATGACTCCTTTAGGAAACGACGGGTCATTAATGCAATTTCATGAGGAGAAAAAAATGTATCCCACAACTTCATACTGTAGTGTAGTTTTAAGACCAAGAGAAATGAGCACATGGCAGTTTATGTTAGCAAGGCTCCTGTGTTCCACTTGATGTCCCTGGTGAGGGACTTCTGTTCTGAAGAGGAGACTTATGCAGAGGAGCTGATGCTCTGCTTGTAGACGGCGTGGTAAGCGTTTCTCAGTAGCACGTAGGGGAAGCAGGACTCCAGGAGGTCCATGGTGAGGAATGGAGATTCTTGGACAATCTGAAACCAAACCAAAAACATGTATTTTGTGCCGGAATCTGTTCTAGTGGTAGCGCTTCCGACTCCAGACTACACATTGCCCCTTGCAGCATGGGTTTAAACCCCACCTGCACCTTCTGTATCTCTACCCATCTGTCTCCCCCACTCATTTATGACTTTCTATCTCAATAAAGTGAACAGTATGTATAAAAAAGATTCTCAGAGAAAATGTGTGGGTGTGAAAACGTTTATTTATCATATATATGCATAATGATAATGGGTGACATTCATAGATGGAATGGGCCATTATTTAAGGCAATTTTCTGTTTAAATAATTGGCTCCTTCCCATGTACATTGCATAATAAAAGTAGCTAAATAAATCACTAGTTGCAGTATTCGGAAATCTCCTTGGGTAATGTGCCATGCCGTATTGTGCCATCCCAAATGTATTGAATCAGCACAAATACTCACCATGTCCAGCAGCAGGTACACAGACTCCCTGTTTCGTGTCGTCATTTTGTCGGTCTCCTGGCCGATCTTCAGCAAGCTGGAAGATGCCAGCTGTAAATGCCAAAACAGCAGAGTATTAAAGGTCTGCAGCAATACTGATTTATTTTGAAGTTGCTCATCAATTTAAAAAATAAGTTTGAAGTTTTCAAAGACAATGCATTCCAGAAACTGCTCAGTAGTGGGGAAAAAAGTAGTGACAAATCCATTTGTAATGTTAAAGTCAATTTAGGACAGCTGAGGAATGGGGCTGGAGAAATGTAGCCACTCTCAAATTCATAGACAGAGCCATGATACAATGACTGGCCATGAGATCAAAATTAGTTTTAACTATGTTTTGAAGCTATACAGAGTTTGTTTACAATTACTTTGCTTACAAACAATGGGGTAAAACAAGCTGGCATTTTGGGTTTGGATGGGGTAAGACAGTTGAACTAAACTCAAGAGGTATTTATTCATAAGTTCTATCCAAGAATCAATGGCTAAATATAATTCATGTAAAAGTAAAGAAATTGATGCACCAATACCAGATTGCCCATTTAATGTGATTCAATCACAGGGAGGGAGAGGAAAATATGCATATAATATATAAATGTTGACAATGCATTCCATAGCGTCAATAGTCAGAAGAGCGACATGTTGCACTTACAGCCAGAAATTCTTTGAGACGATCTTCAATGCTTCCCTTGTGAATGGTGAACAAGGCAGCAGCTATCTGGTTGACAGCTTTCGCCAGACAGTGAATGTTGTTGCAGTGCCCTTAGAAAGATTGAAGAAAACATTTACTTCTCAGTTATCACAGTCCAACAACAATTGCTCTAGACTGTTTACCTTGGCTACCTCAATCTCTCTATAGTTATTAACAAAATCATCTCAGGCAATAAGACACTGGCTGTCTGAAAAAAACTCAGCAAAAAAAGAAACGTCCTCTCACTGTCAACTGCTTTATTTTCAGCAAACTTAACATGTGTAAATATTTGTATGAACATAACAAGATTCAACAACTGATACATAAACTGAACAAGTTCCACAGACATGTGACTAACAGAAATGGAATAATGTGTCCCTGAACAAAGGGACAAGTAACAAAATCAAAAGTAACAGTCAGTATCTGGTGTGGCCACCAGCTGCATTAAGTACTGCAGTGCATCTCCTCCTCATGGACTGCACCAGATTTGCCAGTTCTTGCTGTGAGATGTTACCCCACTCTTCTACCAAGGCACCTGCAAGTTCCCTGACATTTCTGGGGGGGAATGGCCCTAGCCCTCACCCTCCGATCCAACAGGTCCCAGACGTGCTCAATGGGATTGAGATCCGGGCTCTTCGCTGGCCATGGCAGAACACTGACATTCCTGTCTTGCAGGAAATCACGCTCAGAACGAGCAGTATGGCTGGTGGCATTGTCATGCTGGAGGGTCATGTCAGGATGAGCCTGCAGGAAGGGTACCACATGAGGGAGGAGGATGTCTTCCCTGTAACTCACAGCGTTGAGATTGCTTGCAATGACAACAAGCTCAGTCCGATGATGCTGTGACACACCGCCCCAGACCATGATGGACCCTCCCGCTCCAGAGTACAGGCTTCGGTGTAAGGCTCATTCTTCCGACGATAAATGCGAATCCGACCGTCACCCCTGGTGAAACAAAACCACGACTCGTCAGTGAAGAGCACTTTTTGCCAGTCCTGTCTGGTCCAGTGACGGTGGGTTTGTGCCCATAGGCGACGTTGTTGCCGGTAATGTCTGGTGAGGACCTGCCTTACAACAGGCCTACAAGCCCTCAGTCCAGCCTCTTTCAGCCTATTGTGGACATTCTGAGCACTGATGGAGGGATTGTGCGATCCTGGTGTAACTCTGGCAGTTGTTGTTGCCATCCTGTACCTGTCCCGCAGGTGTGATTTTCAGATGTACCGATCCTGTGCAGGTGTTGTTACACGTGGTTTGCCACTGCGAGGACGATCAGCTGTCCGTCGTGTCTCCCTGTAGCGCTGTCTTAGGCGTCTCACAGTACGGCAATTTATTGCCCTGGCCACATCTGCAGTCCTCATTCCTCCTTGCAGCATGCCTAATGCACATTCAAGCAGATGAGGAGGGACCCTGGGCATCTTTCTTTTGGTGTTTTTCAGAGTCAGTAGAAAGGCCTCTTTAGTGTCCTAAGTTTTCATAACTGTGACCTTAATTGCCTACCGTCTGTAAGCTGTTAGTGTCTTAACGACCGTTCCACAGGTGCATGTTCATTAATTGTTTATGGTTCACTGAACAAGCATGGGAAACAGCGTTTAAACCCTTTACAATGAAGATCTGTGAAGTTATTTGGATTTTTAAGAATTATCTTTGAAAGACATTGTCCTGAAAAAGGGACGTTTCTTTTTTTGCTGAGTTTAGTTCTTGCCTACTACTTACTAAAACTAGATACTGTGTACTAATCAAAATACGTATTACTATAGAACGTACTGTTTAATAAAAACATATGCAGTAAGCAACACATATCAACATACTAGGCTCATTCATACTGAGAAGGCATCATATAATGTGCAATCGTGCTTGTTCCCCCCCTTCATTCATTTTGGAAGCGCATGTCTCCTTATCTGATGATCAGCTGTTTTCGAACACACGTGGGTCTGAAAAGACATGCCTCTTCCTCAATAGCATTCGTACTAGATGAAAAGCTGAAATGAGTATACCATCCTGGCATTTAAAGCTTACCAAATGTTCCATATTTCACAAAGGCCTACTATAAATTATTATATTTTCGCATACGCGATCAGAGTACTTACTATTTAGAAAGGGTATTCGGACATGTACTAACCATTCTATTAAGGATATAGGGCCTGTCTGTCTGAATACCCATACTTGTTTTCTAAAAAGTACTCGACAGATCTATATCTGCACCTGGTGGGTTCTATGGGTAATCAGACACAGCCACTATTACCCAAACGACCATTGACACATCGAAATTATATAAATACCTTCGATTGCAGGGCTATATTGAGACATGACGTTGCTGGCCAGAGTTGGCATGGAAACGGCAACGAAGACCATGAGCAGACAGGCGATCTTATACTCCTCCTCCGGGCTGATGTTTTCTGGAAAGAGTGGTATTATGTACAATTAATAACTGGATGTCAATCAAACAGTTGCTCTTAGAAAACAATGTCAAAGCTCTGCCAACTACACCATAATCATGTTTATGTTTTTTCCAGGTAGCAGTATTCAATATGGCCAGGCTTTCCTTTTGTAATGTTTAGAAGTGACACATAAAATGAAAATCTTCCTAAAATGTGTTTATTTCCATTGGCAAACACTTTGTCAGCCCTTTGCAGGGGCCTAGTTCTGGCTCTCACCTGATTTCTGTGAGGAAAGGGCCACCACTAAGGCTGGGTCTATCTCACAGGGCAGGCCTGCTGCAGACGACAGCTCATACACGTTCATGGCCACCTGACAGGAAGAGGAAATCACAGTCTCAAACATAAGATCATCATCTACAAAAGTGTTTCCAAAATCTATCCTCGAGTACAGGGGACACTAGTTCCACCTATTTTATGTATTCCAGAACTAGCACACCTGATTCAACTAATGAAGGGCTTGGTGTTTGGTTAACCAATTTAATTAGGTGTGCTTGTACTGGAATACATCTAATAAGTCAAACTGTCTGGGGGTACTCGAGAGAGGTTTGGGAAACACTGATCTAGACTGTTTTCCCATTCTAACCCAGTGAGAAAGGTCCTATACCCGTTGCCTCCTACCTTCATGTCTGTCTCTCTGGGAATGTGGTCCTTGAAATCCTCGACGGAGCTCACCAGGAAAGGAATGTGGCAGGACAGCACCTGACGACGGATGATGTGACAGAAAAAGGGGTCACATTTGAGTGCCGGTATGTTGTCATGTTAAATCTAGTTACTGGCATCTTTCTTTCACTACTTTCATATTTTTATATATTTTATTAGACAGAGAGAGAGAAAGTAGGGAATAATAGGAAAAGAGAGTGCGTTTTCAAACCCATGTCGACACTGGTATACAAGTGCTGTAGGCGGTGGAACTAACCACTATACCACCCAGGCCACATTAATGCCAATTTTGACTTGATCTTATTTGAATCCAGATATACAGCAGAGGACTTCAGTGATGATACAGAGGCCCAGTTTGTGACAGTGATACAGTATTGGTCAGGATAAGTGTCGTGACTGGACTTACATCGCGGAGTGCTTCCTGGGCCAGTGATCGGAATGACAAGATGACTCCAATAATGGTCATCCTTTTCAGGACGCTGTCAACAGCTACAGAACACAGACAAAGACATAACAAAGCTTTAACCTCCTGTAAAAGTGTTACAAAACTCAGTACAGTCTTGATCTGAGGGAAAAACATTTAGAAATATGCTAAAAGGGAGCACATCTGGACTCATTACCATATACAGGATGTGCTTAATATGGCAACAAGCACACTGATAGTCACACTGCTTCTTCTGTTTTGGGGCTACGAGAGTAAGACATGGGCAAGAGAGAGACGTACATGAGAGCTTCTTAAAGAGGGCTGCCATCTGCTCTGGCTTATCAAAGCTGGTCCTCATCTGGTTAAGAACTTCCACGTTGTCCACCACCAGTTTCTTTGGAAGTGAGAGGGAGGGGGGAGAGAGAGAGAGAGAGAGAGAGAGAGACAGACAAACAAACAGAAAGAACAAAAGAAAAAAAGAGAGAGGTACTATTAATGAGATTCAACAGAGATATAGAGCCCAGGGGCATCAACATGAGTACAAACAGCTCTGAAGGAAAACAAAAACAAACAAGAACACCTCAGATTCAGTCAGTGACCACACCTTGAGTTCTGCCACCTGGGAGGATATGTGCCACATGAGGCTCTCGCTGAGGAACTTCATGCCATAGGGTCCCAGCAGCTCCGACAGTGACCTCATCTCTGTGGGAAAGAGAGAGCAGGGGGATGTCAGAAATGCTTTGTGTCAATAGGTCACTATTCATACTCCTCTCGCTTATCCCCAATGCTTTTGGGATTTAAGTATGTAGGTGGCCATGATTAAAATGTACACATATTTAACCCAATAAAGGCTGCAAGGCTTTCCCCCCCAAAAAACGTGTTGTCCTAGAGCAGCAGAATATTCACAAAACTATATTCACTACACAGCAGCCTCAGTATACACTATAACCATCACATCACATTGTCCTATACAGGAGAGGCAAAAAATTCCTGCTCAAAGTATTGCAAGCCTCTATTACGTCTAATAAATGGTTCTGATGGTCTCACCGGATATATCCGAATACTCCTCAGCGTTAAAGATGAGCTCGTTCTCCGTGGGCAGGTTGACAAAGGCCTTCATGGCAGGGAAGTAGGCAATGTGGCCATTGCTTACCTGCCGGAGCAAGGTCTCCAGATACCTATGGACACACAAGCAGACTCAATCTCACTGGATGACACGATAGAACGGATTTCAACCTGTGTGTAGGAGTGCTGATCTAGGATCATGTCCCCCCTGTCCATGTTATCTTATTCATTGTGTTCTAAAAGGAAAAACAGATCCTAAATCAGCACTCCTACTCTGAGACGCTTAATACATACGGCCCAAATCTCCATCCACTCATTGGACATTTATTTTGTCCTGGTTTCATGAGGAATCACCCAGATGACATAATATGTGAACTGAGGACTGGTGTGTTGGTTGGGCGGGACTCACCAGTTGGTGTAGAGGCTGGTGATGGTGGGCTCCCCGTGGCTGTCCAGATGCTGGGTCTGCTGCAGCAGCACGTTGTTGAACACCCGCGTGATGTCGATCTGCACATAGTTCTCGATGGACTGCAGCACCGTCATGTAGGAACGCACGCTGGTGAGCAGCTCGGAGGGCTTGGCGATCTCCTGCGTGGCCTGGTTGTACATGGTCATCCCCACAATGGACCTGAGAGAAGAGGGAGCATCATGAGTCTTGGATCGATCTATAGATCGTATCTATCGATCATATTGTTTCAATCCATGGTAATGTATCATATATTTCATAATGTATCATATCTATCTATCGTATCTATCGTATCATATCCATTGTATCGATTGTATCGTATGATATCCTAACACAGCATAAACACTTGAGGACCAGAAGGATTGGAAACATTGCTGTTGAAATATGGCAATGTCCCAAATGGAAGCCTATACCCTATATAGTGCACTTAGGGCCCTGGTCAAAAGTAGTGCACTAAATAGGGAAAAGCTCACCATTTGGGAGGTATCCTATGTGTGGGTGGGTGGACTCACTTGGTGAAGCGGATCTCCAGGTGGGAGGTGAGGTACTCGCGGGGGGTAAAGGTGTGCTCCCACACCACCATGTTGGGCACGTAGTTGATGGAGAAGCACAGCTCCGACAGCGCCGTGTGCAGCTTGTCCAGGCTGGAAGACACAATGAGATAGAAATTAACATCAGCAACTACTGACACACCTTTACCCTCCGCGAGTACCTCACCTCCCACCTGGAGATCCGCTTCACCAACCACACATACCATCACACACACGCAGGCACACACACAAACAGTCACACACATATATGCACCCCGGCACAGACACATGTAACTCACTTGGTGACCAGGAGCCTGTTCTTCCTCATGCTCTCAACACCCGGCTTCTCTCGCTCCGGCTCACCTTTCTTCCCAGTCTGCTTTTTAGACTTCTTGTTCACTGCCTGACTGATGGTTTTCGCACAGTGTTTAGGGAGCAGCTGCAGAGAGAGAAAATCTAAATCTGAATGAAAATCTATGTGCAATAATTGTATCTATACCTTGATAAGAAGTTATCATAGGATTCCATGAAGCTGTCAGATTGACGATAAACTATAAATTAGGCTCACATCAATATTGCCCCTGTCCATTCATTATAAAAGTCAAAACCTAAAATCAGCAGCACTCCTACTCTGGATCACATACACATACTAAAAATATATGCATTTACTGTACTGAAGTCACTATGGAAAAAAGTGACCGCTAAAGTGACAAATACATCATTATATACCCTATTCCACAAGGACACCGGTCTCCATGGCAATGGCCCCTCACCTGGTCACTGAGCGTGCACTGCTCGGTGCAGATGTCGGTGATGAGGTTGCGCGCCTGCTTGGCCATCTCGTCCAGGAACATGTTGCAGAGCGACAGACTGCGGTCGCCAATGTGATGCCGCTGGGAGAATGCAGGGAAGGGACAGGTAGTTAACCACTCAGGAGCAGTGTGAGATGGGAATCTTAGTGCAACATTTTCGAAGTGCAAAATAATTATGCAAAATGCAAAAATGACAATAAACCTCATTATAATCTCACAGTGATTTAATTTGAAACGTTTGTTGTTAGTAAACTGATCAATACATAAATCACTTTGTTATGCACATTGCACATTGTTGAAGAAAAGTTTCAAATTATTTCACACTGACAGATAATGACATTTATAGTAGGTTTTGCACTTTGCACAATTATTTAGCATTATGAAAATGCTGCCCTAAGTGTTTTATGAGAATCTCAAGTTGGGTTGCTAAATTACAGAAACTTTCCCAAAGTTCCCAGGTTTTTCAAAAATCCCAGTTGGAGGATTCCCGGAATCAGGAGGGAAAATGCAGGGAGGGAATACTCCAACTGGGAATCCTCCAACGGGGATTTCTGAAAAACTCAGGAACTTTAGGAATGTTTCCAGAATTTTGCAGACATAGACTTACAAAACGAATTCTAGATATGGATGTGATGGTTATGCTTCATAAGGTTTTCATTCAACCATTGGTTGCTTTGGTTGTGGGGCCTTACCTCTTCGGGACAGAGCTCGTGGGTGCAGCTCATGAAGTGTGTGCACAGCAGGGGGAACGAGATAGAGTGGCGCGACTGTGAGGGCAGCTCCAAACACTGCTGAAACATCTTCTCAAATGCTCGGCTGTAGAAGCTATCACCACCAATGAGACCGGGACACCAAGAAAGTCAGAAACTCAAAATCCATCTAGAGCAATCATATCCAAAACAATCAATAAATTAATCTTGTTTTCATATCTTGTCATTAATATATATTTTCACGAATATTTCTTTACATTTGTGTTATGCCTATTTATTATCGTTAGTGCTCATGTTTATAGCAAATCATTTGACCGTGCACCTTGCGGGTTGATATCATTCTATTTTACGTTTTTTGTAAAAATAAGCGGTTACTGGACTGTATTATCTACTATAACTCTATTACTAATTGAAAGTATTGATAGGTAAATACAAACATGCTACGTGTTGCAGTAGCCCTTCAGATTAATGCAAAACATATCCTTGACTCTATTCGCGAACTACACCTAAACTATACCGAAACTAATTTCACACATAATAAGAAATATTATCAGTTGTCAAATTGTAAATGAAGAGATGGGCGCAGCTTGGAATTAATTGACAGAGGCAGGGAAAGGAGCACCACTTTATCAAATCCTCCTTCAAATCACATGCAGGTAAAACGCTTTGATTTATTAGAAAGAGCATATTCTGCAGTTTCTAAGACACTTACCTTTGTCAAATAGCTCTCAAAATTCGTGAGATGCAGCTCTATCTCCAAATATCACTTTTTAAAAGTCCATGCGTTCAGCACATGAGCACTCGCACGGCAGCATCGCTCAGGCCACTAAGCAAAGATTAGTAACAAAATAAACTTAATATATATATATTTTAAATACATTTATTATTTTCAATGTTTCTTTAAACCTGCCAAAATGAAATTATAATGGATTTCTGTGTTATGGATTTTATTCTTTCATTTTACTTATAGCCTACAGTAACATAAACTAATGAAAATGCTATTATGTTCTTTGAAGTAATAGTTTTTTCGTATTCTAATGTTACCTTAAGACCTTCATAAACACAACCAAATGATTATTCTTCCTATAGCATATATGACATGTATTTATTAGACTGTTCGAATGTTGACCCGTCATTGGCTGGAGGCCATGTGTATGCTATTGTCCCCCGACAACATTCTCTAGCGGATACTTATAGGCTGAAAGGCCTGGCAGTTCTAGTGTGAAGGAGGAATAATTTACCCAGGTCTACGTCTGTCTAAAGTGCAATCAAAATGCTGAGCTGAAGGATCGGATGATCACACTTCAAGAGGGAACTGAAGAGTAGACTGAATTATCGCCAAGAGGCTTCTAGAGTGGATGCGGCCTACGAATATACGCTCCCTTGGGGCGGGTCTGCCATTGAGGCAGACCGGGACGAAAACTATGAGGTTGACTTCCCAAACATACAGCTACACAATGGCGTTCCGACCAGCTCTACCCCGATGCCATCTACCCAGTCCCAGCACTGGGTGACATTCGCCGGTAAAGGTAAAAGCCGAGGGAAAGGTAGAAGAACGAGCCACTGACGACAAGCGCGGTCTGGGCTGTTCCTGGCCAATCAATTTCAGCCTGGAATCTCCACTCCCACAGCAAGATTCGCAAGAAGGACGTCCGGAGTCCCCATTGTGAGTAATGAGCGGTCCGCGGCTCCCAGTCCGCTGAGGGCTACGAGAACACCCGATGTGAGTTCAAGGCTCCCCCCAGCCCCAAACTCCAGCGATGTTCGAAATGGGGGAGCAGCAGGAGGTGCTTCGTCTGCCCCAGTTGGAAGGAATCATCCTCCATGTAGCACAGGGCTCTCCAACCCTGTTTCTGGAGCGCTACCGTCCTGTAGGTTCACGCCAACCCTAATCTGGCACACCTGATTCTAATAATTAGCTGGTTGATAAGATGAACCAGGTTAGTTACAACTGGGGTTGGAGCAAAAACCTACATGAGGGTAAGCTCTCCAGGAACAAGGTTGGAGACTCCTGATCTAGCATCATTGCTGAAACCTCCATGGTTTGTCATGTTGCGTCCCAGATGCAAGTACTCTTTGTTACCTGGGGGCGTGCGTGACGGATTTACAATAACTGTTCCCAACCATCAAAAAGCAACTCCCTGACACAAAACGAGTTGTGATTCGTATCGGATCAAATTATGTCATGCGAGTGAAAGCAGAAAAGCTCAAATCCATTTTCAAACAGCTTATCGAGACCATATAGGAGTCGAGTAAACAACCCATAATCTCCGTTTCTATTCCGTCTGCGCATTGGAACTGTGAGAAATTCAGCCGTATGTGGTCTCTACATGTTTGGCTGAGAAACCATTGTATATCTATTTCATCCTAAGGATCCAGACTGCTATCCACCAACATTGGCTCGGTGCTAAGAGCTGTTAGGCCTACTCGAGCAAGAACAGGTCCTTGCTTGAGGCATATACCCAATGGTGCAGTTCTATGCAATCTTATATCTATAACAGGACACAACGTGTGCTTATTGATGGTATCAAATCTAGTTTCCTCAAAATAAGAAAGATGTGCCGCAGGGGTCCATTTTGGGCTCCGTTCTTTTCACTATTTATATTTTTTTAAATGGTCTATTTGTTAGAACCTGTAACAATCTCTACGCAGATTATAGTTATTTCATTCATGACCTTCAGCATGGTTTTGACTCAATAAAATAAAAAATTGCTTACTGATCTTAAACTAGTGCTAAATCCTAATAAAACCAGGTTTATGCTGTTCTCTAGGTCTCATAATATTGACCCTGAGGACCTGCGTATTTACACATTGAAGGGAGCCCAAATTGTGCAAGTTCCCCATTATAAGTACTTGGATTGACGATCTTTTAAAACACACATTGAAAAGCAGAGAATTAAGATTGGTTTCTTTATAGAAATACATCCTGGCTCAATTTTGAAAGTAGGAGGAAGATTGTTCAAGCAACGCTTCTCCCAGTCCTTGATTATGGTGATACAATCTACATGCACGCGGCAGCCTCTGTTTTAAAACCTTTAGATTCAGCACTGCGTTTTATTACTGGGGACCATTTCCGTACACATCACTGCTTTTAGTTTTTATACCCACCAGCTAATGGAATAGCCTTGAGGCCACCTTGAAGTTAGACTCGCTGGTCTCCATTGGACAGATTAGACCAAGTTTAAGGGCGGTGATATATGAAAGTTGTGCTTGTTTTAATTATATATTGATATTTTTACATTATATTGCATTACATTTTATTCACATGGCTCCCTTGTAAATGAGATCTAGTATCAATGCTGACCTACCCTGTATATATAATTTATATATGCAAAAATATATACATATATTTTCTGTCTGTTGGGTTATTAATTACCAGAAGATGGAGATGTCCGAGGTTTCCACCAGCATCTCCACCAGGGAGTCCACCATCTTGGTGTGGAATATGATGGTGTTCATCATCTTGCCCAGCTCCCGGTGGTCAGCGATGCCCAGAGAGGTTTTGGACACACTGGTGTAGGCCTGGAGAGAGAGAGAGAGACAGACAACATAGTTTGATTACATCAATCAAAATACCTTGAATTTCAATCAAAACCATTCTCCCTTTCAGCTAGCATCATATTCCAGTCTCTCTTACAACTGGTGTTTAACCCCCTAGAGTAGATTAACATGTCAATCTAAGTTAAATAACAAAACAAGAGGGAAATCAGTTTTTTTTTGCATTGGATGAGTCTCAATCAACCGCATCCGCCAGTGTCGCACTTCCGCATCTGCAGTGAAAGGTGGCAGAGCTAGAGCGGTGTTTGTCAGACCATGAGACGTCCCGAAAATCTGTTTTCTCACGGAAATGTCTGTAGCGTCTGAACGATATGACCTACAAACTACACTGAACAAAAATATAAACATAAAATGGAAAGTGTTAGTTCCACGTTTCATGAGCTGAAAAACAAAATCCTAGAGATGTTCCATACGCACAAAAGCGTATTTCTCCCAAATGTTGTGCGCAAATTTGTTTACATCCCTGTTAGTAAGCATTTCTCCTTAGCCAAGATAATCCATCTACCTGACAGGTGTGGCATATCAAGAAGCTGATTAAACAACATTATCATTACACAGGTGCACCTTGTGCTGGGGACAATAAAAGGCCACTTTAAAATGTGCAGTTTTGTCACACAACACAATGCCACAGATGTCTCAAGTTTTGAGGGAGCGTGCAATTGGCAAGCTGACTGCAGGAATGTCCGCTAGAGCTGTTGCCAGAGAATCTAATGTTCATAAGCTGCCTCCAACATTGTGTTAGAGATTTTGGCAGTACGTACAACCGGACGTACTGCCAAATGGTAGAGTGGCCACTCAAGGACATTCAAAGACATGCCCCGAAGCCACTCCTGCGTTGTCTTGGCTGTATGCTTAGGGTCGTTGTCCTGTTGGAAGGTGAACCTTTCGCCCCAGTCTGAGGTCCTGAGCGCTCTGGAGTAGGTTTTCATAACGGATCTCTCTGTACTTTGCTCCGTTCATCTTTCAGACATGACGCTTTGCATTCAGGCCAAAGAGTTCAATCTTGGTTTCATTAGACCAGATAATCTTGTTTCTCATGGTCTGAGAGTCCTTTAGGTGCCTTTTGGCAAACTCCAAGTGGGCTGTCATATGCCTTTAACTGAGGAGTGGCTTCCGTCTGGCCACTCTACAATAAAGGCCTGATTGGTGGAGTGCTGCAGAGATGGTTGTCCTTCTGGAAGGTTCTCCCATCTCCACAGAGGAACTCTAGAGCTCTGTCAGAGTGACCATCGGGTTCTTGGTCACCTCCCACCTCCCGATTTCTAAGTTTGGCCGGGCGGCCAGCTCTAGGACGAGTCTTGGTGGTTCCAAACTTCTTCCATTTAAGAATGATGGAGGCCATTGTGTTCTTGGGGACCTTCAATGCTGCAGACATTTTTTGGTACCCTTTCCCAGATCTGTGTCTCAACACAATCCTGTCTCGGAGCTCTGCGGACAATTCCTTTGACCTCATAGCTTGGTTTTTGCTCTGACATGCACTGTCAACTGTGGGACCTTCCAAATGTATGTCCAATCACAGGTGGACTCCAATCAAGTTGTAGAAACATCCGAAGGATGATTAATGAAAATAGTTCAATTTCGAGTCTCATAGCAAAGGGTCTGAATACCTATGCAAATAAGGTATTTCTGTTTTTTGCCATTTATGAATTGTGTTATTCAATGCGTTTCTATGGGCTTTAGTAGAAAAGACCAAAATCAACATTTTATCAAATCAATTTTTTATATATAGTTTTTTATACCTAAAGGGGTCCTAAAATTCTAAACCAGATAGCTAAATGATCCATAGTATGACCAGCTTAAAACAATTCCATATGTCAGTTTAGCACTCCCTCCTCCCCCAAAGTCTTCGATTCTAAAGAATTAAGGGGGGTAAACACCACTGTTTAAGTACTGTAAATGCTGCAAACTAATTTACCCAGGATACAATGACAAAACGTAACTGTTTTGTTCAATTTATGTTGCTCTGGTTCTAAAATGTGTATAATTTACTGCCGAGACATCTCGCTCACTAAATAGCGGCCAAATCGCTAGCTGTTGACTACTATATACCCCCCTTTGGAATACAGCATGCAGCACATTGTTTACAAATGGACATAATATTCATAGGGACAGTTTCCCAGACACAAATTAAGCCTAATACTATTCTAAAAAGCACTTCCAAAGGAGATTCTAATCTGGGTCCAAAAAACTGGCCCATAAGGGTATAACTAGGGTAGCATAGAGTTATTGAGTTTTTGTAATACGAGGACAGTTTTTGATATGGCTACCATAATTAGCCCTGGGCTGTCAGTGGCTTACCTGCAGACGGAACCAGTCAAGCCTCATGCCCCGGAAATCAAACACGTCTCCGTCCTCCACTGCAACACAAGCACAAACACTCCTCATTTCCTGATGTCAACATCCGCACCCACCACAGTGCCCATACATAAAGCAACACTTGGGAAGGAGGTAGCAGCAGGCGGGTTAGTATCTTAAATGTCAGGCTGAATACCTTGCTTCACGCTGAGGGAGGTCATGGTGTTCACAAAGGAGGACATGATGATGGATTCGTCCTCAGGGCAGACGGAGAGGTTCTGGAAGGGGAGGTCTACGTGTCACTGTCTTGTTGTTGTTGAATGCAAGAAACTAGTATGCGTGTGTCAGCGTGCACGTGTTAATGTGTATATGGGGGGAGGGGGTCTCACCTGCACAAGCTCGTTGAGAACCACAGCGTCAAAGCCGGAGAGGTACTGCACATAGTACCGTTGCATTACGGGACCATACTTCCTGACGTGTGCCCTGAGCTCCTCCATGTAGAAGATGAGCTCTGCAATGTGCCTGAGAAGCAACAAGAGAAAAGGAGAAGTCAGGGGTGTATTCAGTGGTGCACACCGTAGCAAAACAAATGTTTCTTATGGAACAAGTTCAAGTTAGTCTAGGGCAGCCATGCCATACTCAACAATATTTCAACTTTTGGAAATCAGTCAGGCTTTTAACTTACTGCTGTTGAGAGTTGTAATAGCAGAAGGCACAAGGTGCAATTTCGAAAATATGGTAACCACGGACAGACCTTGGAGAGCTATTTATAACCTGTCAGAAATGTTCAGTTGATCAACTACTAGCCCATGTTAGCTAGGTAGGTAAGTAAGGCTAACCAGCCATCTAAATCTTGTAGTCATTATGGCCAGATTAAGTGCCCGGGGGTCTCCATTATTTTTATTTGATTTATTAGGATCCCCATTAGCCGACGCCAATGGCAACAGCTAGTCTTACTGGGTTCCAACATATAACGAAAAATACATTACAGACAAAATACTTTATAATTTACATACATTTAAAAACATTAACATGTAGTGTGTGTGTGCATCGATCAGTTACACATACATGTCAGTACATACACACAACAAGTAGGTCACATGGGGGAGTGGCGTTGTGCTGTGAAGTGTTGCTTTATTTGTTTTTTGAAACCAGGTTTGCTGTTCACTTGCGCTATATAAGATGGAAGGGAGTTCCATGCTCTCATGGCTCTGTATAATGCTGTACGTTTCCTTGAATTTGTTCTGGACCTGGGGAATGTGAAAAGACCCCTGGTGGCATGGCTGGTGGGGTAAGCGTGTGTGTCAGTGCTGTGTGTAAGTTGACTATGCAAACAATTTGGAATTTCCAACACATTAATGTTTATTATAAAAACAAGAAGTGACGCAGTCAGTCTTTCCGCAACTCTTAGCCAAGAGAGACTGGCTGCATATTATTTATATTAGCCCTCTGATTACAATGAAGAGCAAGACGTGCCACTCTGTTCTGGGCCAGCTGCAGCTTAACTAGGTCTTTATTTGCAGCAATAAGCCTGGACATTAATCAAGATAAGATCAAACTAGAGCCTGAAGGACTTGCTTTGTGGAGTGTGGGGTCAGAAAAGTAGAGCATCTCTTTATTACGAACAGACCTCCCATCATCTTTCACTATTTCCAGAACAGCTACCTTGTTCTTGAACCTCAGGAACTTGACCACTATCGGCCTGGGTCTGTCACCTGGGCCAGTGGTGGGTTTTCCAGTCCTGTGGGCGCGCTCCACCTCAGTCTTCCTGTGGTCCATCTTCAGTTTCTCAGAGATCATTTCCCTCACTTTGTCTTCAGACTACGTCCACGTCTCATGTGGATATTCTGCAATTCCGTCCACAACCATGTTGTTCCGCCTTGATTGTCCCTCGAGATAATCAGATTTCTCTGTCATTCACATACAGAACTGATGTCCTCTCTCAATTACTTACAGATTGCGGTCATCTTGCCGTTCTCCTGTTTAAACTCATCGAGCTGACCCTGGGAGAACTGCAAACTGTTCTTCAGGTCCTGGACCTCTCGTCAGGTTGTCCATTATTTTATTAGTTGACTCCACCAGTATTTGGACAAAACACTTGAAGCTATTTTCTTGTTGTTGTAACAACTGCTTGTAGAACTCTATTTGGTAGCAATGATTTTGTTGAGTCACTCAGGTATCATTATGAACACACATATAAGACATTGCAAAATGTGTAGAATTGCAGAGAATGAGCTTTAAAAATTCAACATTTTAGGGTACATGTGTTGCGAGGTGGGGGTTTGTTACTACGCCTATAAATAACAATATACATCCTGACCTTTGCCACCTAGGAAATGTGTGTGACCGGACCTTCTCAAATAGTATTTGAGTACCCCTTGGGCTTGGCGATATTACCTAAAAATCTACTAAATGTTTTTAAATGTATGGGCGACACACGATATATACACTATATATACAAAAAGTATGTGGACACCCCTTCAAATTTGTGGATTTGGCTATTTCAGTCACACCCGTTGCTGACAGGTGTATCAAATCGAGCGCACATCCATGCAATCTCCATAGACAAACATTGGCAGTAGAACGGCCATACTGAAGAGCTCAGACTTTCAACGTGGCACCCTCATAGGATGCCACCTTTCCAACAAGTCAGTTCGTCAAATTTCGGCCCTGCTAGAGCTGTCCCGTTCAACTGTAAGTGCTTTTATTGTCAAGTGGAAAGGTCTAAGAGCAACAACGGCTCAGCCGCGAAGTGGTAGGCTAAACAAGCTCACAGAGTGCTGAAGCACGTAGTGCGTAAAAATCTTCTGTCCTCGGTTGCAACACTCATTACCGAGTTCCAAACTGCCTCCGGAAGCAACGTCAGCACAAGAACTGTTCGTCGGGAGCTTCATGAAATGGTTTTCCATGGCCGAGCAGCCGCACACAAGCCTAAGATCACCATGCACAATGCCAAGCACCAGCTGGAGTGGCCTAAAGCTCGCTGCCATTGAACTCTGGAGCAGTGGAAACGCGTTCTCTGAATCACGCTTCACCATCTGGCAGTCCGATGGACGAATCTGGGTTTGGCGGATGCATGGAGAACGCTACCCGCCCCAATGCATCTTAACTCTACAGCATACAATGACATTCTAAACGATCTGTGCTTCCAACTTTGTGGCAACATTTTGGGGACAGCCCTTTCCGGTTTCAGCATGACAATGCCCCTGTGCACAAAGCGAGGACCATAAAGAAATGTTTTGTTGAGATCTGTGTGGAAGAACTTGATTGGCCTGCACAGAGCCCTGACCTCAACCCCATCGATGCGAGCCAGGCCTAATCACCCAACATCAGTGCCCAACCTCACTATTGCTCTTGTGGCTGAATGGAAGCAAGTCCCTGCAGCAATGTTCCAACATCTAGTGGAAACCCTTCCCAGATGATCAGAGGCTGTTATAGCAGCAAAGGGGGGACCAACTCCATATTAATGCCCATGATTTTGGAATGAGATGTTCGAAGAGCAGGTGTCCATATACTTTTGATCATGTAGTCTGGGTAGCCATTTGATTAGATGTTCAGGAGTCTTATGGCTTGGGGGTTGAATTTGTTTAGAAGGCTCTTGGACCTAGACTTGGCGCCCCAGTACTGCTTGCCGTGTGGTAGTAGAGAGAACAGTCTATGACTAGGGTGGCAATCTTTGACAATTTATAGGGCCTTCTTCTGACACCGCCTGGTATAGAGGTCCTGGATGGCAGGAAGCTTGGCCCCAGTGATGTACTGGGTCATACGCACTACCCTCTGTAGTGCCTTGCGGTCGGAGGCCGAGCAGTTGCCATACCAGGCAGTGATGCAACCAGTCAGGATGCTCTCGATGGTGCAGCTGTAGAACCTTTTGAGGATCTGAGGGGGAATAGGTTTTGTCGTGCCCTCTTCACGACTGTCTTGGTGTGCTTGGACCATGTTAGTTTGTTGGTGATGTGGACACCAAGGAACTTGAAGCTCTCAACCTGCTCCACTACAGCCCTGTCGATGAGAATGGTGGCGTGCTCGGTCCTCTTCTTTTTCCTGTAGTCCACAATCATCTCCTTTGTCTTGATCACGTTGAGGGAGAGGTTGTTGTCCTGGCACCCCATGGCCAGGTCTCTGACTTCCTCCTTATAGGCTGTCTCATCGTTGTCGGTGATCAGGCCTACCACTGTTGTGTCATCGGCAAACTTAATGATGGTGTTGAAGTCGTGCCTGGCCATGCAGTCACGCGTGAACAGGGAGTACAGGAGGGGACTGAGCACGCACCCATGTGGGGCCCCCGTGTTGAGGATCAGCGTGGCGGATGTGTAGTTACCTACCCTTAACACCTGGGGGCGGCCCGTCAGGAAGTCCAGGATCCAGTTGCAGAGGGAGGTGTTTAGTGCCAGGGTCCTTAGCTTAGTGGTGAGCTTTGAGGGCACTATGGTGTTGAATGCTGAGCTGTAGTCAATGAATAGTATTCTCACATAGGTGTTCCTTTAGTCCAGGTGTGAAAGGGCAGTGTGGAGCGCAATAGAGACTGCATCATCCGTGGATCTGTTGGGGCGGTATGCAAATTGGTGTGAGCCTAGGGTTTCTGGGATAATGGTATTGATGTGAGCCATGACCAGCCTTTGAAAGCACTTCATGGCTAGGGATGTTCCATAGTTTGAGTAGAGTAGAATATCAAGTACATTTTGTGTAGCCTCCTGTAGCTCAGTTGGTAGAGCATGGCGCTTGCAACGCCAGGGTTGTGGGTTCGATTCCCATGGGGGGGCCAGTATTAAAAATGTATGCACTCACTAACTGTAAGTCGCTCTGGATAAGAGTGTCTGCTAAATGACTAAAATGTAAAAATTTCAACTTTTCTGCTGTCTGTGATGATGGAACCAACCTCTTAGCACTTCAGCGCCATTCTCACACTGGTCTGCTGCTGTTGATGCTTCACTTGACAGGTGCGGTTACAACATGTAGTTAAGGCAGGTCAGGATTGGTAGATAACTTTTCGAAACATGGTGCATGTGCTGTGACACAGTTGAGGTGTGCAGAGGTGTGAGATGCCGCATATGCCGATGTTATAACAAAACGCTTATAAAAACTTGATACTCGTGATACAGGTGTTTCCTATTACACACAAAAAAAAAATGCTAATGAATTGCCAAAACATGATTTATCACCCAGCCTTAAGTTAGTCCATCCCCATTACGACTGTTTGCTTCCGTTTGGTTCCTAGTGAATACACCCCAGGTGAGAGGATTTCATATAACCAAACCACTGTTAATTTGAAGCAAAGAATCAGCAGTCGGCTCTAGCATTTTCCCCCCAGATGTTTTGTACCGTTGAGAATACAGCTTACTTGTCAATGAAGTCATCTGTGCTTTTTTTCTGTATATTGTCTGCGTGGCGGAGGAGCCAGATGATCTCGTCCCGGGCGAAAGAGAGAGCCATGAACACAAACAGAGCCTGTGGAAAAACAACCCGGCCTTTAGAATCAAACACATCTTATTACATTATCACATAAAAAGGGAAGGGAACACTGACGCAAAACACATGAATTGAGGAGTAAACTAAAGTGAATAGGAAATTCCGCAACTCTTGGAGAACAGTGGAAGTTGATTAAAAAAAGCCTTTATCAACTTCCACTGTCCTCCAAGATTTGCTGAATTTCCTCTTCAGACTATCACATATAACATAGATAATGTGTGTTACTTATCGAAGATGACTTGTTAGTGACAGAAGCAAATAGCACACTTATTCAACAATAATGACCATACATATCCATCGATAGATTAAAAAAGGGGATATTTTTGGGGGTTGGTTTTACCTTTGGGCCCAGCAGTCCAGGCTGGTCAGACAGAACTGTGGCCAACTCTTTCAGGGCAGACCTAAGAAACTTGCGCCTTTCTCTATGCATGGATCCACTGCAATGAATGCAAAATTAATGTTTTATTGACTTAGCATTATGAAAATTATATTGCAAGGCAGTATAAAAAAACGACTGGGGGACAATGAAGAGGATATACTTACGCGTGCGACAGTGCTTGTTCTTTGCATTCTTTGATGTCATTTAGACGTTTATTGTAGCTGGAAAACAATGAACGTTGTTAAAATACTGGAAGATGAAGGGAGAGTCTTCTGTGCAGATTCACTATGGTACTTTTATTTTGTTAAAATGTCTCTCTCACACACACTCTCACACACACACACACAATGCTCTCAAGGCTCCAATTACAGTACAACAAAATGTGTCTGAATTAATTTATTACGTCTCTCTCTCTCTCTCTCTCTGTAAAGTTACTTGGTTCTTACATGTACTAACGACTCAGCTATGATCGAAAATACACTCTGCCCTTGAAACTAATGCCTGAGTTCAAAGTTGCAGCTAGCAGTCTTTCCACACTGAGCTTTCAGAAGAACAAGTTTGGATTTACACAGCATTAAGATGACACTTGACTTAGAATTCAACAGTCCTGTCGTGTGTGCTAGTTAGATGACATATCTGGCAGGTTCATCACCAGTACTGGTTGAGCAGATTAAACAAAAAATCAAGGGTCAACCCACCAGGAAAAAACATGTTGAATCAATTGTTACAAATCATCTATAACTGTCATATTTTGTCACATTTTAATGTTACGTTTTAGTTGACCATTCTGGTCCCGCTTTCCATGCAGCTTATAAAGGCTTCATAAACACTACCTAAATTGTTACAAATCATCTATAACTGTATGTCATGCTTCATAAAGGGTTCATAAATGTGGCTTAACTGTGTGACATAGCCACCAATGTCAAATGTGACGTAACCCACTAAGTCAAATATGACATAAACCTGTGCTTTATAAAGGGTGGCATAAGTACTGCTTAATAAAGGCCTTATGAATCATATTAAATTGACGGTTCACAAAGCATTTATAACCCTGTCATGTATCTTGGTAGAGCATTGCAACGCCAGGATACTGGGTTCGATTCCTGGGACCACCCATACGTAAAGATGTATTCACATATGACTAAGTCGCTTAGGCTAAAAGCACCTGCTAAATGTTATATTATATTACTCTAAAACATTTCTAGGCTGGCCCAACTTCTTTCCCTCTTGGGTGCATAGTCAATATTTGACCTGACCTCAACTTTCCCCAAAAAGCTGTGCTGAAGGATGACAGCACATGCACAGCAAAACACTTTGGTGAGGCCTTTTAAAGTCTGTTTACATTTTTTACCTACTTTAGTTTTTTTCCCCAAATTACAATTTCTCAGTTTGGTTTTTCCAGGTTTCTGATTTCCCCCATTCTTTCAGGTTTTGTCACACTTTTTAAATATAAAAACAACATTAGATTTTCTGTGTTCACAACAATGCTTTTGATGTCTTTGAAAAGTCTTAGAAACCTAGATTTTTGAGTGTAGTTGCTCTTTAATTCAGTGTGCATGCCCTGCACTGTTGTTTGGATAGAAGGTATTCTGTAGCGCAGTAATTGCACACGTGATGTTTTCCATATACAGTGATTTGAATTGTGGCCGCCAATGGAATGGGTGGAGTAAAAGAACAGCAACACTCCGTATTATTCAGAGCCCCATGAAATGACACCATACAGTATATACAGTTGAAGTCGGAATTTTACATACACCTTAGCCAAATACATTTAAACTCAGTTTTTCACAATTCCTGACATTTAATCCTAGTAAGAATTCCATGTCTTAGGTCAGTTAGGATCACCACTTTATTTTAAGAATGTGAAATGTCAGAATAAAAGTAGAGAGAATGATTTATTTCAGCTTTTATTTATTTCATCACATTCCCAGTGGGTCAGAAGTTTACATACTCAATTAGTATTTGGTAGCATTGCCTTTAAATTGTTTAACTTGGGTCAAACATTTTGGGTAGCCTTCCACAAGCTTCCCAAAATAAGTTGGGTGAATTTTGGCCCATTACTCCTGACAGAGCTGGTGTAACTGAGTCAGGTTTGTAGGCCTCCTTGCTCTCACACGATTTATCAGTTCTGCCCACACATTTTCTATTGGATTGAGGTCAGCGCTTTGTGATGGCCACTCCAATACCTTGACTTTGTTGTCCTTAAGCCATTTTGCCACAACTTTGGAAGTATGCTTGGGGTCATTGTCCATTTGGAAGACCCATTTGAGACCAAGCTTTAACTTCCTGGCTGATGTCTTGAGATGTTGCTTCAAAATATACACATATTTTTCCTTCCTCATCATGCCATCTATTTTGTGAAGTGCACCAGTCCCTCCTGCAGCAAAGCACCCCCACAGCATGATGCTGCCACCCCGTGCCTCACGGTTGGGATGGTGTTCTTCGGCATGCAAGCACCCCCTTTTTCCTCCAAACATAACGATGGTCATTATGGCCAAACAGTTCTATTTTTGTTTCATCAGACCAGAGGACATTTCTCCAAAAAGTACGATCTTTGTCCCCATGTGCAGTCCTCTGTAGCTCAGCTGGTAGAGCACGGCACTTGTAACGCCAAGGTAGTGGGTTCGATCCCCGGGACCACCCATGCACACATTTTTTTTATGCACGCATGACTGTCAGTCGCTTTGGATAAAAGCGTCTGCTAAATGGCATATTCATTTATTTTATAAACCGTAGTCTGGCTTTTTTATGGCGGTTTTGGAGCAGTGGCTTCTTCCTTGCTGAGCGGCCTTTCAGGTTATGTCGATATAGGACTCGATTTACTGTGAATATACAGTGGGGAAAAAAAGTATTTAGTCAGCCACCAATTGTGCAAGTTCTCCCACTTAAAAAGATGAGAGAGGCCTGTAATTTTCATCATAGGTACACGTCAACTATGACAGACGAAATGAGAAAAACAAATCCAGAAAATCACATTGTAGGATTTTTTATGAATTTATTTGCAAATTATGGTGGAAAATAAGTATTTGGTCAATAACAAAAGTTTCTCAATACTTTGTTATATACCCTTTGTTGGCAATGACACAGGTCAAACGTTTTCTGTAAGTCTTCACAAGGTTTTCACACACTGTTGCTGGTATTTTGGCCCATTCCTCCATGCAGATCTCCTCTAGAGCAGTGATGTTTTGGGGCTGTTGCTGGGCAACACGGACTTTCAACTCCCTCCAAAGATTTTCTATGGGGTTGAGATCTGGAGACTGGCTAGGCCACTCCAGGACCTTGAAATGCTTCTTACGAAGCCACTCCTTCGTTGCCCGGGCGGTGTGTTTGGGATCATTGTCATGCTGAAAGACCCAGCCACGTTTCATCTTCAATGCCCTTGCTGATGGAAGGAGGTTTTCACTCAAAATCTCACGATACATGGCCCCATTCATTCTTTCCTTTACACGGATCAGTCGTCCTGGTCCCTTTGCAGAAAAACAGCCCCAAAGCATGTTGTTTCCACCCCCATGCTTCACAGTAGGTATGGTGTTCTTTGGATGCAACTCAGCATTCTTTGTCCTCCAAACACGACGAGTTGAGTTTTTACCAAAAAGTTATATTTTGGTTTCATCTGACCATATGACATTCTCCCAATCCTCTTCTGGATCATCCAAATGCACTCTAGCAAACTTCAGACGGGCCTGGACATGTACTGGCTTAAGCAGGGGGACACGTCTGCCACTGCAGGATTTGAGTCCCTGGCGGCGTAGTGTGTTACTGATGGTAGGCTTTGTTACTTTGGTCCCAGCTCTCTGCAGGTCATTCACTAGGTCGCCCTGTGTGGTTCTGGGATTTTTGCTCACCGTTCTTGTGATCATTTTGACCCCACGGGGTGAGATCTTGCGTGGAGCCCCAGAACGAGGGAGATTATCAGTGGTCTTGTATGTCTTCCATTTCCTAATAATTGCTCCCACAGTTGATTTCTTCAAACCAAGCTGCTTACCTATTGCAGATTCAGTCTTCCCAGCCTGGTGCAGGTCTACAATTTTGTTTCTGGTGTCCTTTGACAGCTCTTTGGTCTTGGCCATAGTGGAGTTTGGAGTGTGACTGTTTGAGGTTGTGGACAGGTGTCTTTTATACTGATAACAAGTTCAAACAGGTGCCATTAATACAGGTAACGAGTGGAGGACAGAGGAGCCTCTTAAAGAAGAAGTTACAGGTCTGTGAGAGCCAGAAATCTTGCTTGTTTGTAGGTGACCAAATACTTATTTTCCACTATCATTTGCAAATAAATTCATTAAAAATCCTACAATGTGATTTTCTGGGAAAAAAATTCTCAATTTGTCTGTCATAGTTGACGTGTACCTATGATGAAAATTACAGGCCTCTCTCATCTTTTTAAGTGGGAGAACTTGCACAATTGGTGGCTGACTAAATACTTTTTTCCCCCACTGTAGATACTTTTGTACCTATTTCCTCCAACATCTTCACAATGTCCTTTGCTGTTGTTCTGGGATTGATTTGCACTTTTCGCACCAAAGTACGTTCATCTCTAGGAGACAGAACGCGTCTCTTTCCTGAGCGGTATGACGGCTGCGTTGTCCCATGGTGTTTATACTTGCGTACTATTGTTTGTACAGATGAACGTGGTACCTTCAGGCGTTTGGAAATTGCTCCCAAGGATAAACAAGACTTGTGGAGGTCTACAATCATTTTTCTGAGGTCTTGGCTGATTTCTTTTGATTTCCCCATGATGTCAAGCAAAGAGACACTGAGTTTGAAGGTAGGCCTTGAAATACATTTACATTTACATTTACATTTTAGTCATTTAGCAGACGCTCTTATCCAGAGCGACTTCTGGAAATTTCAAAGCTGTTTAAAGGCACAGTGAACTTAGTTTATGTAAACTTCTGACCCACTGGAATTGTGATACAGTGAATTATAAGTGAAATAATCTGTCTGTAAACAATTGTTAGAAAAATTACTTGTGTCATGCACAAAGTAGATGTCCTAACCGACTTGCCAAAACTAGAACAAGAAATTTGTGGAGTGGTTGAAAAACAAGTTTTAATGACTCCAACCTAAGTGTATGTAAACTTCCGATTTCAACTGAGGGAAAAAAATATTTGATCCCCTGCTGATTTTGTACGTTTGCCCACTGACAAAGAAATGATAAGTCTATAATTTTAATGGTAGGTTTATCTGAACAGTGAGAGACAGAATAACAACAACAAAATCCAGAAAAACGCATGTCAAAATTTTTATTAATTTATTTGCATTTTAATGAGGGAAATAAGTATTTGACCCCATCTCAATCAGAAAGATTTCTGGCTCCCAGGTGCCTTTTATACAGGTAACGAGCTGAGATTAGGAGCACACTCTTAAAGGGAGTGCTCCTAGCCTCAGCTTGTTACCTGTATAAAAGACACCTGTCCACAGAAGCAATCAATCAGATTCCAAACTCTCCACCATGGCCAAGACCAAAGAGCTCTCCAAGGATGTCAGGGACAAGATTGTAGACCTACACAAGGCTGGAATGAGCTACAAGACCATCGCCAAGCAGCTTGGTGAGAAGGTGACAACAGTTGGTGTGATTATTCGCAAATGGAAGAAACACAAAATAACTGTCAATCTCCCTCGGCCTGGGGCTCCATGCAAGATCTCACCTCGTGGAGTTGCAATGATCATGAAAACTGTGAGGAATCAGCCCAGAACTACACGGGAGGATCTTGTCAATTATCTCAAGGCAGCTGGGACCATAGTCACCAAGAAAACAATTGGTAACACACTATGCCGTGAAGGACTGAAATCCTGCAGCGCCCGCAATGTCCCCCTGCTCAAGAAAGCACATATACAGGCCCGTCTGAAGTTTGCCAATGAACATCTGAATGATTCAGAGGAGAACTGGGTGAAAGTGTTATGGTCAGATGAGACCAAAATGGAGCTCTTTGGCATCAACTCAACTCGCAGTGTTTGGAGGAGGAGGAATGCTGCCTATGACCCCAAGAACACCATCCCCATTGTCAAAAATGGAGGTGGAAACATTATGCATTGGGGGTGTTTTTCTGCTAAGGCGACAGGACAACTTCACAGCATCAAAGTGACGATGGACGGGGCCATGTACCGTCAAATCTTGGGTGAGAACTTCCTTCCCTCAGCCAGGGCATTGAAAATGGGTCATGGATGGGTATTCCAGCATGACAATGACCCAAAACACACGGCCAAGGCAACAAAGGAGTGGCTCAAGAAGAAGCACATTAAGGTCCTGGAGAGGCCTAGCCAGTCTCCAGACCATAATCCCATAGAAAATCTGTGGAGGGAGCTGAAGGTTCGAGTTGCTAAACGTCAGCCTCGAAACCTTAATGACTTGGAGAAGATCTGCAAAGAGGAGTGGGACAAAATCCCTCCTGAGATGTGTGCAAACCTGGTGGCCAACTACAAGAAACATCTGACCTCTGTGATTGCCAACAAGGGTTTTGCCACCAAGTACTAAGTCATGTTTTGCAGAGGGGTCAAATACTTATTTCCCTCATTAAAATGCAAATCAATTTATAACATTTTTGACATGCATCTTTCAGGATTTTGTTGTTGTTATTCTGTCTCTCACTGTTCAAATAAACCTACCATTAAAATTATAGACTGATCATTTCTTTGTCAATGGGCAAACGTACAAAATCAGCAGGGGATCAAATACGTTTTTCCCCTCACTGTATATATTCTACAAACCCTACTGAGTACTCCCTACAATACCTTCACTGCGGCACCCAAGATAGTTTTTGTTCTATAAGCCAATATGTATTCCATAAACAGTGATCCGCATTGGGGGCATTTATATGACCTTGGAACATGTTTTAAAACCCACAGTTAATGCAAATGTCACTTAAACATGAACAAATATGAATCATTGTTAATGTTTAGACAATTATTTTTCATATAACATTAATAAATACAGGTTGTTGACACTTTTAAACTATTACGAGGGAGACTTTAAATTTTGCAAATTTCCAAATTTGTGACCCCGAAGTACTTTTTTAGTGTTGGTGATGAGACGCTGATCATGTGATGAGTTCACAAATCAAATGCCCAATTGTGGTGCCACCGGACAGCGAAAAACAATTAAGTTAACCTTTATTTATTGTAATTAAAATTTGCTTGTAGTAGTTAAGTGTTGAGTTAGATGACATACTGTAGCTACCTGTCGTTATTTCAAATAATTTCGGTGACATCACAGCAATTGTTCTCCCGAGTGGCGCAGTGGTCTAAGGCACTGCATTGCAGTGCTAGCTGTGCCACTAGAGATCCTGGTTCGAATCCAAGCTCTGTTGTAGCCGGCTGCGACCGGGAGACCCATGGGGCGGCGGCACAGTTAGCACTGCGATGCAGTGCCTTAGACCACAAACGCCATGCTCTCAGTTGGTAGAGCATGGCGTTTGCAACGCCAGGGTTGTGGGTTTGATTCCCACAGGGGGCCAGTATGAAAAATAAAAAAAATATGTATGCACTCACTAACTGTAAGTCGCTCTGGATAAGAACGTCTGCTAAATGACTAAAATGTATGCATGTGTTATGAATGACCAAAGGTGTCTGACTTTAAATTAAGTATTACAGGACACTACATAAAGTGTCAATAAATAGGTTATTAACGTTCTTCTGATTTATGAAGGTGTTCTCATGATCCACAGGTTACTGTAGGGTGTGAGGGGTATTTAAATGGGTTGATGGACCTGCAAAGCTTGTGTGTGTGTCAAAGCCAAGATGATTTGGCTTAGTCCAACCTGAGACCATTCCCATGCTGGTGAACAGGGCTTGATTACAACCTGTTATAATGGTGCCAACCTTTTGTGGCTGATCTTTCAGCGGGGGAGTGGGTGACTGTGTCAAAGACCTGATGGGCCCAACACTGCACGGTATGGCTCGTTTTTGTTGTGTGCAAGTTTGTGTACTGAGGAACATGTAACTTGGTTGCAGAAGAAAGCCACTTTCAATTTCTTTAGGTTGGGTGCTTTCATCAAGGTAAGTGTTTCTTGGTGTAAGCCTGGGATATCAATCATTCAAAGCTGGCCTTTGTGGAAGTGACCATAGAATTCTATAGGAGTGACCTTACTGAGTAAAGTATTTGTCATCGTCACTAGTTAACACAGTAAAAAAGTAATAATTATGGCTAAATCCTGCCCATTTCCACAATTTATCGTCTTAAAGTTTTATTTTAAACTAATGAAGGCCAAGTTTGATTTGGGCGGAAGTGTCTGGGAACAAGATTAGGTGTAACATGACTAACATGACTTCTTTTAGAGCGTATTCCAATCCGTCGACCCAACATTACCCTTTATAAAGCAAATGTTTATCACATTCGACATAGTGGGTTACGTCACATATTGACATTGGTGATTATGTCACACAGTTATGCCACATTGATGAACCCTTTATAAAGCACGACATACGGTTATAGATACTTTGTAACACATTTGTGTGGTGCTTATGAAGGCATTATGAAGGCTTTATGAAGCCTTTATAAGCTGAACGTCATTTAACACGGGACCAAAATGGTCAACTAAAACTTAACCCAAAACTACAAAAAAAACTACAACTAAAAAGAAATGGGTCTCTTGTGTAAAAACTAAATCAAAACAGGGATTGAAAACTAAACTGAAACTTAACTTAAATGAAAAGTGAAAATAGTATAATAACCTTGGTACAGATGACTTTGGACTGATACTTCAAATTCAGCATGAAAAAAATAAATACAAAATAAATAAATGTTTCAATGGTATTTAAAAGGTTTCAATGGTATTTACGACTTGTATCAGTCCTAGAAAACAAAACATTTACAAGATATACTTCATGAATCCTCCTGCAGTTCCTCATAAGAAAGGCACAGAGAGGGGTGTATTCTGAGTGGTTTGAGGGTGGTGTGTGGTGTGTTGTGTGTTGGCGAGAGGCTTACCCACGGATGTTGACGAACAGGTCCTCACAGGCCTTGTGGATGTGGAAGACCTCATCCCTGAAGAGACAGAGGCAGGTGCTGCTCTGGAGGGCCAGCTTCCACAGGCTCAGCGCTGCTGGGTCAGTATTCAGCACCGCGTGGCACAGGACGAACCCGACTTGCGGAGGGACGGGAGGTTAGTTCAGTAAAAACTGCTAAATGCTGCACTAAAATTGCAAATATAGTAAGAACATTTGGGTATTTCTTGTGACTGGTATAAAACAAGATTTTGGAGCCGGGATCTAGTTTTAAGTAAGTAAGCAAGCCTTGGACAAGTAAAGACTTGTCTGAGCTAGAACAGCCCATTGGGGCAGGAGCCTATCTCCTGTTAATGTAGCGCGAGACAGGTTGATGTATAAGTACACCCCCTGGACAGGACACTAGTCTATCGCACGGCCTTACCCCCAATCGCTCTCCTTATTGCGGAGTGCCAAGCAGAGGCATGAAGTCCCATGTTTTGGTGTGACTTGACCGGGGATCGAACCCCCAACCATCCAATCTCAGGGCAGACACTAAGCACAAGGCCACTGAGTTGGTCTAGTTTTAAGCCAGGACCCAAAATGAATCCTCCCTGACCAATGTGAAACATTGTGTTAACTCAATAACTTGAGCAGTAAACTTACACACAATCCATTTCTCCATACAGTCTAAGGAGAGGTATTCACAGGGCATCTAGAACAGAGACCAGAGGTTTGTCAGGATACATGCAATTCAAATCAATTCACAGATGAAGTTTGAACTGAAAATATATTATTGGCCTGCTAATAATGTGGACTATAAAAACAGCTTGTCCAAAACATCTATGAACACAATTTTCAAAATGGCAGAGCTGGCTATTACATTTACAGAATGAGTAGAATAAATGGTAGAACACATGGCATGTCAACCAGATAAGGTGCTGGATGGGTGAGAGGTGTTAACTGATTGGTGTGAAGATGGGTTTAGTAGCAGTTTAGTAGTTGTAGGGGCCTAGGGAGTTGAATGGGCAGTGGGCACTGACTGTGTCTGACTGGGCTGGGTTGAGCATGGTACTGGGGGCGCTAATCAGGCTCAGAAGCTGGGCGTTCCTCCACTGGTCTGCGGACAGGTTCCTCCTGGGGTAGACCATCTGCAGCGAGATGAGTGCGTCTGACAAAGACTGCATCGCCATCGGAACAGAAAGAGAAGGAGATTAATTGGAGGTACAGTGGCTTGCGAAAGTATTCACCCTCTTTTGCATTTCTCCTATTTTGTTGCCTTACAACCTGGAATTAAAATGGATTTTGGGGGGATTTGTATCATTTGATTTACACAACAGGCCTACCACTTTGAAGATGCAACATATTTTTTATTGTGAAACAAACAAGAAATAAGACAAAAAAACAGAACTTGAGCGTGCATAATTATTCACCCCCCCCCCCCCAAAGTCAATACTTTGTAGAGCCACCTTTTGCAGCAATTACAGCTGCAAGTCTCTTGGGGTATGTCTCTATAAGCTTTGCACATCTAGCCACTGGGATTTTTGCCCATTCTTCAAGGCAAAACTGCTCCAGCAACATCAAGTTGGATGGGTTCCGCTGGTGTACAGCAATCTTTAAGTCATACCACAGATTCTCAATTGGATTTTTAAATGTTTCCCCTTAAACCACTCAAGTTTTGCTTTAGCAGTATGCTTAGGGTCATTGTCCTGCTGGAAGCTAAATTTTAGTCTCATCTGACCAGAGTACCTTCTTCCATATATTTGGGGAGTCTCCCACATGCCTTTTGGCGAACACCAAAAGCAATGGCTTTTTTCTGGCCACTCTTCCGTAAAGCCCAGCTCTGTGGAGTGTACGGCTTAAAGTGGTCCTATGGCCAGATACTCCAATCTCCGCTGTGGAGCTTTGCAGCTCCTTCAGGGTTATCTTTGGTCTCTTTGTTGCCTCTCTGATTAATGCCCTCCTTGCCTGGTCCCTCTCTTGGCAGGTTTGTTGTGGTGCCATATTCTTTCAATTTTTTAATAATGGATTTAATGGTGCTCCGTGGGATGTTCAAAGTTTCTGATATTTTTTTATAACCCAACCCTGATCTGTACTTCTCCACAACTTTGTCCCTGACCTGTTTGGAGAGCTCGCTATGTTTCCGCTTGCTTGGTGGTGCCCCTTGCTCTCTGGGGCCTTTCAGAACAGGTGTATATATACTGAGATCATGTGACAGATCATGTGACACTTAGATTGCACACAGGCGGACTTTATTTAACTACAGTGGGGGAAAAAAGTATTTAGTCAGCCACCAATTGTGCAAGTTCTCCCACTTAAAAAGATGAGAGAGGCCTGTAATTTTCAGCATAGGTACATGTCAACTATGACAGACAAATTGAGAAAAAAAATCCAGAAAATCACATTGTAGGATTTTTTATGAATTTATTTGCAAATTATGGTGGAAAATAAGTATTTGGTCACCTACAAACAAGCAAGATTTCTGGCTCTCACAGACCTGTAACTTCTTCTTTAAGAGGCTCCTCTGTCCTCCACTCGTTACCTTTATTAATGGCACCTGTTTGAACTTGTTATCAGTATAAAAGACACCTGTCCACAACCTCAAACAGTCACACTCCAAACTCCACTATGGCCAAGACCAAAGAGCTGTCAAAGGACACCAGAAACAAAATTGTAGACCTGCACCAGGCTGGGAAGACTGAATCTGCAATAGGTAAGCAGCTTGGTTTGAAGAAATCAACTGTGGGAGCAATTATTAGGAAATGGAAGACATACAAGACCACTGATAATCTCCCTCGTTCTGGGGCTCCACGCAAGATCTCACCCCGTGGGGTCAAAATGATCACAAGAACGGTGAGCAAAAATCCCAGAACCACACGGGGCGACCTAGTGAATGACCTGCAGAGAGCTGGGACCAAAGTAACAAAGCCTACCATCAGTAACACACTACGCCGCCAGGGACTCAAATCCTGCAGTGCCAGACGTGTCCCCCTGCTTAAGCCAGTACATGTCCAGGCCCGTCTGAAGTTTGCTAGAGTGCATTTGGATGATCCAGAAGAGGATTGGGAGAATGCCATATGGTCAGATGAAACCAAAATATAACTTTTTGGTAAAAACTCAACTCGTCGTGTTTGGAGGACAAAGAATGCTGAGTTGCATCCAAAGAACACCATACCTACTGTGAAGCATGGGGGTGGAAACATCATGCTTTGGGGCTGTTTTTCTGCAAAGGGACCAGGACGACTGATCCGTGTAAAGGAAAGAATGAATGGGGCCATGTATCGTGAGATTTTGAGTGAAAACCTCCTTCCATCAGCAAGGGCATTGAAGATGAAACGTGGCTGGGTCTTTCAGCATGACAATGATCGCAAACACACCGCCCGGGCAACGAAGGAGTGGCTTCGTAAGAAGCATTTCAAGGTCCTGGAGTGGCCTAGCCAGTCTCCAGATCTCAACCCCATAGAAAATCTTTGGAGGGAGTTGAAAGTCCGTGTTGCCCAGCGACAGCCCCAAAACATCACTGCTCTAGAGGAGATCTGCATGGAGGAATGGGCCAAAATACCAGCAACAGTGTGTGAAAACCTTGTGAAGACTTACAGAAAACGTTTGACCTGTGTCATTGCCAACAAAGGGTATATAACAAAGTATTGAGAAACTTTTGTTATTGACCAAATACTTATTTTCCACCATAATTTGCAAATAAATTCATAAAAAATCCTACAATGTGATTTTGTGGATTTTTTTTCTCATTTTGTCTGTCATAGTTGACGTGTACCTATGATGAAAATTACAGGCCTCTCTCATCTTTTTAAGTGGGAGAACTTGCACAATTGGTGGCTGACTAAATACTTTTTTCCCCCACTGTAATTATGTGACTTCTGAAGGTAATTGGTTGCACCAGATCTTATTTAGGGGCTTCATAGCAAAGGGGATGAATACATATGCACGTACCACTTTTCCGTTATTTATTTTTTAGAATTCTTTGAAACAAGTAATTTTTTTAATTTCACTTCATCAATTTGGACTATTTTGTGTATGTCCATTACATGAAATCCAAATTAAAATCAATTTAAATTACAGGTTGTAATGCAACAAAATAGGAAAAACGCCAAGGGGGATGAATACTTTTGCAAGGCACTGTATTTCTGGCTGCTGACCATTTCTACAGGAATTTACTTGGTAGTTAATAGGAAATTGTGGACATTTATTACATGGTGGCGTCTATGCCGTATATGTAATAAAGTGCTATCTATTTTTCATTTGTATATTAGTGTTACTGAGGAATATATTCACAGACGTCTAGTGTCTCACCTTCCCATGAGGGACAAACTCTTCCATCATCTTTTTCAGAGGATTCTCATAGTCCACGATCATTTGGCCCAGCCTTGGGTATTCCCTGTCACTGGGCGCGGAGGAGAGAAAGAAAAACACAGTCAAAAGACATCACATAATACATTTCACAGAGGATAGTCCTGCTCATAGCTCTAGCTGTACCTGGCCCCGTGTGTCATTTCATGGGCGTAGTTGTAGAGTCCAATGATTGCTTTTCCGCTCTTCAATACGGGACAGTAACATCATTAGTGTAGTGTAGGTGACAACTAAGTCAAGGTAATTCTTGGTGAGGTCAAAGTTAACCGTCTATAAAGACAGAATGAAAAACTTTAGTTAGCTTTGATTAGGATTATAGAAAAAGGTATAATCTCTTGAGGAGATTTGAAGAAGAAAAAAAAGTGTTATACCAAATAAAGGGAATTGTGGAAAGATGAATACTTACAACATCAAAGAAAACCTGGCAAGCGTCAATAGTGTTCAGCAATTCAGAAACATGGTCCTAGAAGAAATATAAAATTCATACTGTAACACTCATGTCTGGATTGTACAGGTGCAACATAGCTACATTGTATAGGGTTGTACAGGTGCAGCATTTTCTACCACTATTCAGAATAATGAAGAAATGTCTACTCAGACATTGATCTAGCCTAATTAGCACATCTATAAAGCATATTACATTATGCTTATTATTACATTAATATACCTATCAAGTAGTTTAAAAAAATGTTTAGTTTAAAAAATGAATTTCCTTACCTTGAATTCCATGACATCCACAAATGTGAAGTAATATAGAGCTAGATTCTTTAGTATTTCAGACTTTTCTTTTTGAAGCTGTGTAAGCTGTTGCTGTAAATGTAGAAGAAACAACTTGTTAGGTCTCTCAAGGAGCATGTCAAGGTAGTCAAGTCAAACTTATCTGAAAGGTTCACTTCTTTCACCAGCAGTAAAACACCATGTCATTCTACTGGTTTGATGGTTGACATTTTACGGCACTATTATTTTGACAAAAGGTTCACTGATTTCTGTTTCATTGCATATCTAACTTTTGAATTTTGCCAATGACCTCTTGAGTTGAGTAAACCATTTGTCAAATTGTACATGAACCTTGCATTAAGTTTAGACAGTTTTAGTTTTACTACACCAGTAAGCCTTTGGTACCATCTCCCAGATCTTATTAGCTAATGATTTTGTGACAAGAATGCACTGTAGTGAACCCGTAGGTACTGAGTGACTATCCAGTATTTTCTAAAGGATGGTTTATAGTTGTGGTATGTATGACTCCAATATTACCATGAGCTATGCTTTATTGCCAAATCGAGACTAAACATTGGTCTATGTTTATCTAAATCAGCTCTAGCATTAGCTATATACAAGTATTCATTGTATTCTCTTAAATATATTATAGGACTGTCTTGTATGTCAGTAAAATGTTATAATGTTAATGCACCGATAAGTACGTTTGCTCTGAAGTTAGTAAGTCATTTGAGGCGGTTAGGTTAACCAGAATACCCATGCCCCATATTAGATTTCATGGAAGACCAATACAATAAAAACATTTTTCATTATTAATTCTAAACTTTTCTCTTCTGCAAAAATCAAAATACATTCTTAGTTGTTACATTTTCACGTGAACAATGCTCCAATCAAAATCTTAACCATACAATTCAATATTAGATTTTTTAGCTCGGCCAAATAGTTCTGACATAATATTGCCTCAGAGTTTAATAGCATGAGGGTAAAGGGGTTTAGCTTTTACATCTTTTCAAGACAAATTAGCAAGAACAAGTTTTTTTGTATTTGCATGTGCTACTTTCCCCACTGATAAACTGTGTTTACACAGCAAGCTCAATTCTAATACTTTTTTCCCACTAATTGCTCTTTTGACCAATCACATTAGATCTCCTACATCAGCTCTTTTTCAGAGCTGATCTGATTGGTCAAAAGATCAATTAGTGGCAAACATATCAGAATTGAGCTGCCTGTGTAAACGCAGCCTTAGGGTTAGTGTTACACAGGCAGCTCAATTCTGATATTTTTGCCACTAATTGGTCTTTTGACCAATCAGATCAAATGAAACAACTTAGATTGCTTTGCATAGTCTATCAGAATAAGAAGCAATAGGCTAGATGAGAACTAAAACTGTTCCACTACAAAAAGGCAGACTAAGCAAAGCTAAGCAAAGCAAAATGGGATTCCAAATAGTACAAACTTACCAATAAGAACAATCCAGAAAAATGCCAAGTTAAGCATGCAAAACATTGAACAAAAACAAAGAAAGAAACATAAGGGACATATTGACACAGTTAAGCTCCATCATTCCAATAGACAGTTAGCTACACATTTCACACAAACACAACAAAGGCAAATAGTAAAAAGTAGCATATATATGACAACACAAATGTACAGTATACATAACGTACATACGGTATGACTATGTGATCATAAATTTAAAAGTTACACTTTTTAAATGATGACAGACAATTTCCTGGGACACCATGGCTAGAATCATTTTCATGAGTGCACAAAACATTATGAACACCTGCTCTTTCCATGACAGACTGACCAGGTGAATCCAGGTGAAAGATATTATCCCTTATTGATGTAAATTGTTAAATCCACTTCAATCAGTGTAGATGAAGGTGAGGAGACAGGTTAAAGAAGGATTTTTAAGCCTTGAGACATGGATAGTGTAATGTGTGCCATTCAGAGGATGAATGGGTAAGACAAAAGATTTAAGTGCCTTTGAACGGAGTATGGTAGTAGGTGCCACACACACCGGTTTGTGTCAAGAACTGCAACGCTGCTGGGTTTTTCATGCTCAACAGTTTCCTGTATGCATCAAGAAGGTATTCTTAATGTTCTGTACATTCAGTGTATTTAAATTTAGCAGATGCTCTTATCCAGAGCGACTTACAGTAGTGAGTGCATACATTTTCATACTGTTCACCCGTGGGAATCGAACCCACAACCCTGGCGTTGCAAGCGCCATTGCTCTACCAACTGACTACATGGCAGTTACTGCCTCTGAACACTCACAGACAAAATCAATAACATTTATAACATTAATACAATATTTTGTTACACCAACTAGGCCTACTACATAAATAAGGAAGGTCATTTGAATAAACTTAAAACAGAACTTACATTATTGTTTCGTGTCTCTATTGCTGGGAATTTCCGTACGATAAACTTAACCGCCGACTCCAAGTTTTTGTCTACCAGGTATGACGGCTTTGCTTTGGGGTCCCCGCATGCCTAAAGTGGAGAGGGAACAGAACAAGAGAACAGAAACAGCTAAAAATGCTACAGCTACAGCAGTCATCTTTGAATACTGGCTGATTCTCATTGAGCGGCCATTGTTAATCAAATAAGAAGGTTGTTAATGAAGTGCATGATTGACAGGATGAACAGGCAGAGTGAAAAGGGTTTGATTTTAGCTGAAAAATGGAGTGAGCAAATAGAGAGAGGAAAAAAAGAGAACAAACATTCTACGCAAGGTCTCCTGTTTAGGTCTTGTAATTTTAAAATGCCAACTGGAATCAATAGGTTAAATGCAGTTTGTTTTGTCCTAAATTATGATCAGTTTTCCATTGGGCAGCTCTCCACAAAGGGGATTGTTCTTAAAGGGGAAGTATACCTAAAACCAAACATTTCACAAGTGATTCCATACATTGAAGATAGTTAGGTGGAGTTAAGACTTCTCCCCTTGCAGCCTAGAACTGGAAAGCTGCAAAAACGGGTCACGTGATTCATGATGTTTCTTTGTGCACTACCAACTCTGCTCTGTTGTCAGTCAAAGAGCTATTGTAGACTAATTCTTTATTTAATTGAAAGCATACGACCAAATTAGCTACTTTAAATCAAAAGCAGCATTGGTTTTGAGTCAGGAAATGTATACCTTTTCACTTAAAACTACTGTGATTATTTTATGTGGCCGACTGCAGCAACAGCGGAGATGGGTAACAACTGCGCATGTGCGCTCTTGTGGGGCAATTCGGAAAGTATTCAGACCCCTTCCCTTTACCAAAAAATGTCTGCAGCATTGAAGGTCCCCAAGAACACAGTGGCCTCCATCATTCTTAAATGGAAGAAGTTTGGAACCACCAAGACTCTTCCTAGAGCTGGCAGCCCAGCCACATTGACCAATCGGGGGAGTAGGGCCTTGGTCAGGGAGGAGGTAACCAAGAACCCGATTGTCACTCTGACAGAGCTCCAGAGTTCCTCTGTGGAGATGGGAGAACCTTCCAGGAGGACAACCATCTCTGCAATCAAGCCTTTATGGTAGAGTGGCCAGATGGAAGCCACTCCTCAGTAAAAGGCACATGACAGCCTGCTTGGAGTTTGCTAAAAGGCCCCTAAAGGACTCTCAGACCATGCGCAACAAGATTCTCTGGTCTGATGAAACCAAGATTGAACTCTTTGGCCTGAATGCCAAGCGTTATGTCTGGAGGAAACCTGGCACCATCCCTACGGTGAAGCATGGTGGTGGCAGCATCATGCTGTGGGGATGTTTTTCAGCGGCAGGGACTGGGAGACTAGTCAGAATCGAGGGAAAGATGAACAGAACAAAGTACAGAGAGATCCTTGATGAAAACCTGCTCCAGAGAGCTCAGGACCTCAGACTGGGGGGAAGGTTCACCTTCCAACAGGACAACGACCCTAAGCACACAGCCAAGACAACGAAGGAGTGGCTTCAGGACAAGTCTCTGAATGTCCTTGAGTGGCCCAACCAGCGCCCGGACTTGAACCCGATCGAACATCTCTGGAGAGACATGCAAATAGCTGTGCAGCGACGCTCCCCATCCAACCTGACAGCCCTTGAGAGGATCTGCAGAGAAGAATGGGAGAAACTCCCCAAATACAGGTGTGCCAAGCTTGTAGCGTCATACCCAAAGAAGACTTGAGGCTGTAATCGCTGCCAAAGGTGCTTCAACAAAGTACTGAGTAAAGGGTCTGACTACTTATGTAAATGTGATATTTCCGTTTTTTTTTTTATACATTTGCAAACATTTCTAAAAAACAGTTTTTGCTTTGTCATTATGAGGTATTGTGTGTAGATTGATGAGGAAATAAAGATTTTAATCAATTTTAGAATAAGGCTGTAACGTAACAAAATGTGGAAAAAGTCAAGGGGTCTGAATAATTTCCAAATGCACTGTATATGTCCTTATTTGGAGCTTGACGTCACAGATGCAAGTTTTATTGGGGGGGCTGCACTTTAAATAAGACATTTTGGGAAGAAGGCACAAAGTTTCACTCTTTTCCGTTGAAAGATACAGACAGATGCAGAAGATGGCTAGTAGCGATAAAAACAGTAAATACTATGCAAACATTCCTACAGCCAATATTGCAAATCTACATGTGTAGTAAGCACTTTAGATTTCTAGTAGCGATAAAAACAGTAAATACTATGCAAACATTACTACAGCCAATATTGCAAATCTACATGTGTAGTAAGCACTTCATCGACAATGACTACGGAAGAGACATACAATCGGCAATGATGGGAACAAAACACTGAAGAAAACTCAAAGATACAGCTGTTCCTGCTGTATTCCCATGGACTGGATCCTGTGCCATGCCAAAATACAGTGGCGCTTTTGAGAAAAGTGTAAATTCGAGAGTGCAGAGGTATGTAGTCTAATCATTGCAGTTCATATTGATCTTATTGTGTTGTAACCATTGCACCATATCATGTAGACATAGCCTAGTCGCTCTACCGGTTAGCACTTGTGCCCTGTCTTTATGACAAGGGGGTTGAGGAGATACAGTAATTGTGTCACCTTACATTGTAATAGACAGTAATTGTGTCATCTTACATTGCAGAATAAAAATGAAAAGGTGTTGTTGCATTTTAATTACTTAGGATCTTGTCTACTCGCTTTTTTAAAATAATCATTATCTCCTATGTCTTATGTGTTGGCTAGCCATGTTTGCATTACATTTTTTCATGCTTTTAAGCACTGTATAGCCTTGCGTGAAATACATGGCCCCAGGAACCACCTGGGGTAGGCCTATTTGGATGCATGTAGTCTGGTCTATTGTGTATTCGTAACCCCAACCTCCCCTATCGATAGTGGCCATGAGTATCCTAACAATATAATTACTTTTAGCCCCATGGCCATAAAACAATCATTACGATTATAAACATGGCATCACATTATACTTGTGTTAGGATGTAAGTTTTTGTTTGTCAATACACATAATAATTTGGCATATAACCCAAACGATATCAACAGTCAATACCTTTCATTATTTGCATTTCAGGCAACTGTATAGCCTTGTGTGGAAAACGTAGCCACGGGAACCACCTGGGGTATAGGATTTCTCATAGTCTGGTCTATTGTTTATTTGTAACTCCCTGCCCCTGTCAATAGGGGCCATGAGTATCCTAACAATTTAATTAAGTTTAGCACAATGGCCGTTACAAAAAGGTTTTATAGGTTAGTAAACATAGCATCACTTGACTGTGTTTGGGTGGAAGTTTTTCTTTGTCAATACACATAATACTAATCTGGTATATAATACTGATAATGTGGACAGGGAACAAGCTACACCTGCCAGTGGTACTTGAATAACTTGATAAACCTAATTTACTTTACGTAAGTATTTTTATTATAAAATGTATCACGCATGTACATCACATTTTGAATACATTATGTCTAGCATAATATAAAGTACCATATTTCCTGTTACAACATAAGCTACCTGTATTTTGTGAAACACAAAAATGATCCTTTAGAATAAGTCTGTGTGTACCATGTAAACATGTCTAACTGTACTCTGCATTAATAGTGTAGGTGAGAAACACTTCAAGGCGGTGTTCCCAAAACAGTCCAAGCAGTGGGTGGGCCAAAAATATTATAAAAATAAATGAATAAAAAACTGTTGCAGTTCAGGGAGAAACTGGTTGACCAGGTGCTGCCCAAGCCTACTGTAATCTTCCAGCCAACATTACCAGAGGAGAAACTTGAGAAAGGACCTGGTTAGAAGATATCACTCCAGGATGAACAAGTAGACACAAACAAAGACTTTTGGGATGCACATACATTATGTTGTATAGTAGTTTTTATATTTTTTTATATGTAACTATACAATGTTTGAATGTTTTGTATACCAGTTTTTGTGACAAAAATATATTACAATACTTGCTTTATTGGTCCATTTGCATGGATATTCTTTATGTTTGCAGTCACAGTACCTAACCTGACACACAACACACACACACACATCACAGGCTGGGAGCTGCACATACCTGTAACTTTGACAAGTCCAGGGAGTATTCCACTTCCTGAAAACCAGTGTAGGCAGTGGATATTTGGCTCGTATGGTATTTACCACGCAGGACGGGAGAGGAATCCAGACTCCCGGACCCAGTGTCTCACCACAGAGGAGCCACTCAGAAAACTATGTGGTCTGAGACTAGGGATGGGCATGTGACATTTTTTGACTGTTGAGTACTCGCATGAAATATCTCATTTACACCCCTGAGTCAATACTTTGTAGAAGTACCTTTGGCAGCGATTATTATTTTATTTATTTATTTATGCCATTTAGCAGACGCTTTTATCCAAAGCGACTTACAGTCATGCGTGCATACATTTTTGTGTATGGGTGGTCCCGGGGATCGAACCCACTACCTTGGCGTTACAAGCGCCGTGCTCTACCAGCTGAGCTACAGAGGACCACTGGATTACAGCTGTATTGCACCTGGATTGTGTAACATTTGCCCATTATTCTTTTCAATATTCTTCAAGCTCTGTCAAATTGGTTGTTGATCATTGCTAGACAACCATTTTCAGGTCTTTCCATAGATTTTAAAGTAGATTTACATAAAAACCGTAACTCTGCCACTCAGGAACATTCACTGTCTTCTTGGTAAGCAACTCCCGTGTAGATTTGGCCTTGTGTTGTAGGGTTATTGTCCTGCTGAAAGGTGAATTCATCTCCCAGTGTCTGGTGGAAGGCAGACAGAACCAGGATTTCCTCTAGGATTTTTTATCCTGATAAACTCCCCAGTCTTTAAAGATTACAAGCATACCCATAACCAGTGGCGGCTCCTGAAAAAATTCTCAGGGGGGGCAATTTTTCTGATGATTTAGGTGACCTACACACATTTTAAAAAAGATATGTCCAGCAACAACATGAAGACAGGGGCAGCATATAAGTCAATACTGATATACACATTACTTGCTTCAAAAAGGCCTCATGGTTGAATTGGAAATATGTGCACCTGAGCATAATTCACAACAAGC